CCATAAGTGGATACACTTTTTTTGTCTATGAATTGTTTTAGGGAGGAAAAGAATTATCTGAATAATCCTTCCTTCAAATGAAGATGGAAGGTATTTCACAAAGAGATCTTTAGAGCCTCATCTGGTTTTGTAAATTAGAAGTGTTAAAAGAGGAAAACACCAAACTTCTCTTTAAGATATATGCTGCTCTGTTGTCTGCATAAATATCCATATTGCCTTGTTTGAGAACATGAGTCTGCAGAGATATGAAGGTTATAGACTGTTCTCGCTCAGCATGGAGTAAATTCTTCCTTTCATTCACTCTAAAGAGTATTCAGAGTCTGGTGTGAACTTTTGCTTCATAAAAACAAGTAGAGGATGTGCAATGGGTCTTTAGAAAAAACGGAACACTCTTCAACAGGAACTTCTATTAAATAATTCACTGCAAATTTTGAAAATAGGGGCCAAGGGATATGCTAAGAAGGATTCTGAAGCCGTGGGGGGAAATTTGTTCCCCATTTTGAGGAGAGTTTGCTGTGCCTTTCAAAGAAAAAGAGGTGCTCTTCAGGGAAAGTGAAAAGTCTATGCCAGAGAACCAAAGAGCCAGGAAACAAGTTCCGGAAAGATAGCTTCATAGTCTTTTTGAGATGAATCCATCTCTAGCCTTTCTTGCTCATCGCTATTAGAATGATAGCTTGCATTCATCTTTTAAGACTGTTGGGGAGAGAGAATGTAATTAAATTCCCTTACAAGGGTTTTGTATCATCTGCTTTGCAATGTGGCTGATGTGACAGCACAAGGAGTCATGTCGGGTCTACTAGGCAGCCGTGGTTAGGCTGCAGTGACAAAATCGCATCTCTCCTCTAGTAGCAGAAGGACTCTGGACATCTCCTTAAATCTAGCTTGTGGAAAAAAAAAATTTTTTTTTTTGCATTGCCCAAGCTACAGAATGTTGGAGAGAAGGAGAAGGTAAACCAACATCTAACCTTAGGTTCACAAGGGGAAAATAAAGTATCCACTGTTACCAATATGAATTTGAATTCTTTTTCTTGCAAGAAAATATACATAATATTAAATTTACAATTCTGACCATTTTCAGATGTATAATTCTGTGGCATTAAAATGCATTCACATTGTTGTGGAACTATCACCACAGCCATCTCCAGAACTTTTTCACTTCCTCTGCTGAAACTCTTCACTCATTAAATTCTCACCTCCCATCCCACCCTTCCTCCAGCCCCAGTGCTCTTTCTTTCTCTGTGTATTTGACTACTCTTGGTACCTCATGTAAGTGGGATCGTGTAATATTTGCCCATTTCTGACTGCTTATTTTACTTAGCAGAATGTCCTCAAGGTTCAGTCATGTTATAGCGTATTTCCCTCCTTTGTAAAGGCTGAGGAATATTCCATTATTATTATACACATACGCCACATTTTGTTTACCCATTCATCTATCACTGAACACTTGGGTCGCTTCCACCTTTTGGCTACTGTGAATAATAAATTGCTGTGAACCTGTGTGTGCAGATATCTGCTCAAGTTCCTGCTTTCATTTCTTTTGGGTGTATCCTCAGAAATGGAATTGCTGAATCATATGGTAAATCTATGTTTATTTCTTTTTTATTTTTTTTTAACATTTATTTATTTTTGAGACAGAGAGAGACAGAGCATGAGCGGGGGAGGGTCAGAGAGAGAGGGAGACACAGAATCGGAAACAGGCTCCAGGCTCTGAGCAGTCAGCACAGAGCCCGACGCGGGGCTCGAACCCATGGACCGCGAGATCATGACCTGAGCCAAAGTCGGACGCTTAACCGACTGAGCCACCCAGGTGCCCCTGGTAAATCTATGTTTAATACTTTGAGGAACCACCAACACCATATGACACAGTTGGCTGCACGATTTTATATTCCCACCAAGAGGGCACAAAGATTTCAGTTTCTCTACGTCTTTGCCGATACTTAGTGTTTTCTGATTTTGTTTTGTTTTTGTTTCTGCTTATCATAATTATCTTAATGGGTGTGAGGTGGTTTCTCACTGTGGTGGTTTTGATTTACATTTTCCTAATGGTTAGTGATGTTGCATCTTTTTTATTTGCTTAGAGCCTTTAATTTTTCAAGCTGTGTGATCTCATAGTCAAAGAAAATTTTGAATATGATAATAATTTCACTACTTTTTGGTATAAATTTTGTGTAAATTCACTGTGGTTTTAACAAAGAGAAAAAGGAAATGTATTCTTTAAACGCCTTTGAAACCAACATTCGGCTGCCTTTGTGGGTGGATCATATGACCTTCACCATGTTGAGTGGACACACTTCCTCTGAACTCATCCTTTATCAAAAGTTAATTGAACAGAACCCTACAATGTTATTTTATCTCTATATTTTGATGAAGTATTATTAACAAACTTTTTAAAAAGTTAATTGAACATGTAGAATTTCCCCAGAAGGTTTAGCACACTGTTAGCTTGACCCAATTTGGCTCTTTCACATCATGGTTAGTTTTTAACCCCCCTCCTGCCACTAACTCAAAGCCTGCGGGAACCAGAAAGGTATCTCAGAAAAGCATCACATGTCTATTGAGCTAAATGTCATGCCATAATTACACAGGTGCCTCAGAGTTCTGAAATAGCCTTTTCTTACTTTTTTTCTATTTTAAAGTTTGGCTTTTATTAACCTTGAAAATTCAATATGGTGGATGGTTTATACGAATTAAGAACCTGAGCAAGATAATTTGAAATTATATAAATGAAGCTCTGTCACCTTTGTAAGTTACAGCGAGAGAATTGATAAGCTCATCCCCTTGTCGAGTAATCATTGTGATGTTGCTTCCCTCCCAGAAGTCTTCAGTTTTCTCTGTTGTTTTCCTCCACAGAACTATGTAGGTCTAATTAGGATTCTTTTAAAAGGAAGGGGGCGGGGGGAGTCTGCTAACAGCATCACCTCATTTGCAGTTTGGAGGAAAAGGCACTAATTAGAATCACAGGTATTTAAAACGTTGCAGGTAAATGTGAACACACCATTATTACTAAGTTAGTCAGAAGAATGACTTTTAGATTGTCCAGTGTTTTCGAGTTGTTCTGCTTTTTAAGTTAGACCTTCAATACTATCACTGAAGGCCAGCCTAATGAGAAATGGATTCTCTTTACTTTAGGATTCTACTCTTAAATATGAAATTTTAACTTGCACTTAGAGCTGATATAATTCTTAAAATAGAACATGGAAACCTTCTGTGACTACAAAATTCCAGCCTCCGTCACACAACCTGGCTGTCTCACACATTTTTTGTACAACTTTTTAAAACTGTTTCCAAATCTACTGTTGTTTCAGATAAGTCATTCAGTCTTCTATGTATGAGAGTGTTTTGCAATAAAAACCACAGAAATTCTTCTTGGCATTGACAATCATATAATTTTGAGACTCTTTTACAATCTAGAAGTGCAGATGGGTGACATCATGGTGTAAAGCAACTTTTATTGGACTCATAAGAAATGCCTTTTAAAGGATTCTTAGAAATTAGAGTTGTTAAACCAAGAAATCTTTGCAGCATTTGACCAGGAAATTGAGGAATCTCAACTTACAAGCCTTTGTCTTGAATCTGCGAAGCATGAAAAATTTTACAAGTAACATTCAGACCACAGATTTGGTTACCCTTGTGCTCTAACTATGCCTCCCTCCATGTGGCAATCTATATATGTTAATATTGGTACAAAAAATGGCAAAACATGATCTAATCCAGCTAGCCAAAGACTCCTATCCTCCTGTATTTTGCAATTAAGTTAGAATCAATATTGGCTGTTCATAAAGTCCATCTGAGACTCTCCTCAAGTCCCAGAATGTGATGTTAGGTTCAAATAGTAGAGTGAGGTAATATGAGAAAAGGATCACGTCTATATTTGGAGCCAGAAGGTGAAGTGCGCTCATCTAGACATAGAGGAAGGCAAAGAATCCAGACAGTAGGTTTTAGTTAAGGAGACAGGAATTTTAGTCAAGGAGACAGGAATCAGAATGATACTTTCATTCACAAATGTTTAATTAGTTGCTATAGCGCAGGGATCAACAAGCTATGGTTAGCTTTCTCTGAGCAGCTATTTTTGTAAATAAAGTTTTATTGGAACACAGCCTTGCCCAATCGTTTGTGCTTTGTTTGTGGCTGCTTTCACACTCCGTTTAGCAAAGTTGAAGAGTTGCAACAGCGATCATATGGCCCATAAAGCTGAAAATACTTACTGGCTGGCCCCTTCCAGAAGTTTGCTGATCACAGCTGTGGAAGATTTTGCTAGGATACCAAAGCATTATTTAGTCAGGACAACTAAGAAAAGTGGTCACTTACCACCATGCCAATCACTACCTTTAATTCACATGTCATTTTACAACTGTCCAAGTGCTTTCATATTTATTATCTCACTTGATTGTTACAATAAACAGCAGGTACCACGACGCCTTCTTCAAGGTGATTTGGCCTTGGAGGGTAAAGTGTCTTCTCTGTGGTTACAGAACAAATTGGGGTATCTACTCCTAGGAGTATGCACAAGATGAGTTTAGAAGGCAGACGGATGTTACCAACTTCTCTCCTTGACACCTGGCCAGAAAGCAAGATCAGGAGGCAGGGATGGAAAGGGCCAAGAGGCCTGGGAGACGCTGAGGCTTAGCCACCTGTACTCCTCAGGAGGATAATGGTACCATTGTCAAGCTCTTTCACTGACATCCATGGCTTGTGGGTTCCATGTGCAAATGCTCGCTCACACCCTCCAGACTGCCAATCTCTCCATCTGCTCCCCAACACGGGATGTTGTGGTTCTAGGTTGGAATGGCTTGGGGCGCCTGGGTGGCGCAGTCGGTTAAGCATCCGACTTCAGCCAGGTCACGATCTCGCGGTCCGTGAGTTCGAGCCCCGTGTCGGGCTCTGGGCTGATGGCTCGGAGCCTGGAGCCTGCTTCCGATTCTGTGTCTCCCTCTCTCTCTGCCCCTCCCCCGTTCATGCTCTGTCTCTCTCTGTCCCAAAAATAAATAAACGTTGGAATGGCTTGATCCCCATGACACTAAACTCAGACACGCCTCCTGTCCCCGGCTCTTGTAGGTGTAGGGTTGCGGTGCAGTGGGGGTCTGGCACATGACACCTGAGAGGCAGAAGCACTTTTCCCAGGTACCTCTGTGACTGAACGATCACTGAATATTCACACTCAGTGCCTAATGTGGATTTACAGCCAGACTTTTTGATTTCTGGAGAAGAGAGCAAACCCTGGGGACAGATTAGCTGAGTTCAAATCCCAGATTCAGTATGAACTATAAGTGAGATCTTGGGCGAGCTTCTAGGCCAGTGAGTACTTCAGTTTATTCATCTGTAAAATGGGATAATAATAGTACCTGTACCTACTTCTCAGGGTAACTGTGAGGGATAAATGACTTAGCACAGTCTGGGTTTATAATAAATACACAGTAACTGTTAAGCATTGCTATTAACCATCATCACTGTCTCAAGGAGAGCTGGGGCCCTGCAGCAGCCTATAGATTTTTGTCTACGGTGGCACCTTTCTTGTCCTTAGTGTACGTGTTGCCTTTACATCCTCAGTTGCATGTCAGTTGTCATCTGCGTCTTTTCAGTCACCTAAAGGCTATCCTGCAGGTTGGAAAGCAGATAAAACTTAGGAAAAACCACCACCCAACTGCAGCACCAAGGTGCACCGGGAATACACCATCATTCCAGCTTCTGAGACAGAGTGTGGCTGACTGTAGGTCTGTGGAAGGACAGGGTAAAGAAACTCACATTCCTTGAGTGCTATCACGTGCCAGACAAGGTGCGGAGCTGTCACATGTTGATGAGAAAAAAACTTGCCCAAGGCTGAGCCCAATTTAGAAGTTAGAAGTAACTTCATGTCCAATTGATTCCAAAATTTTATACTCTTTCCAGAGCATAATTCTGCCTCTGATAAAGTGCTAAGTAGCTGTGCATTTATCAACTATAAATGGGGAATGGCATGGTATTTACACTTGGAGTGGAGTCGGATGATCACATATTCACAGAACCTTTTTATAGTTCAGAGAGAGCTGGTGAGACTCTCCCTAAGGGAACACAGAATAATTGAGGTTGGAAACAGCTTAACCTCAAGTCATAAAAATCACTGACAGGGGAAACTAAGAGGAAACTGGTTACCCTTGGTGGGGAAGGGGTTGTGGGCTCCCGGTACGGGCTATGTGTTCAGTTGGTCGAAGCAATATTTTCAGCCTAAAAAAATATTACCCCTTGAACACACTTTATTTTTATATCACTGTTGGTCTTCTAGAAAGCCTGGTAATAACAAGTATTTATTCGTTGATTAGAATAAAGTCTAAGCTCTTTAAAAAGCAAAATAATTTCTCTCTCTTCCCCCGGCGCCCCTCCTCGCCACATACGCGTGCACGCAACTCACACAACATACACACACGTCCAATGTCACAAGGACACACGACACTTCTTATCAATCAGTAAGTACCCCACAGCAGCCCAAACGGGTATGGAAATTCTATTCTTCTGTTTCCTTCTTTTCCATGGTGCTATGCATGTTCTATAAACAGCAGGAGAAGTAATTATGTAGGTGGGCATTCGTTACACGGTCAACTTTTGGAATATAATATAGGAATGTGCTAAGGCGAGGAAATATTTGCTTGAACTAATGCCTGGAAACCGAATGTGGTATGCACTTCATAGTAATATAAACCGCACATCTGGATCATTTCTGTATACTGTACCTGAGTGGGTGGGGTAATATTTACATTCATTTTCCACTTCTAGGCTGTCCGTCCGGTGTCTCGTCTGTGCATGCCAGGAAGTTCCGTGTGTGTGTGTGTGTGTGTGTGTGTGTGTGTGTGTGTTCTGCATTTCATATTCCAGCATCTGCCGTTCACTCTGAGTTGGAGCATTTACCATCGCAAAACTGTCACCAGGGTCTCTGAAACACACATTTACATTCCACAGGTCTAGTAAATGGGCTGTGTGGCTGCACGATGCCTTTTGTTCAAAAGAAATCCAAGTGGCAGCCCGGCACTTCCCATCCAACTGCACTTTAGGCTGTAACTGTGGCAGCTGGAACGTGAAGCTCAGAGGAATAGAATCCGCTGCCCCAGCAGGTAACATTCTGGGGTTGGTTCCTTTTATTGTTGTTTTTGCTGCTGTTTAAAATGTCCAGACCTTCTCGCTTGGCCAGACCTTTCTTTGCCAACGCAGCTTCCAAGCTGCCATCACCTAGAAGGGACGATTTGAACAGCAAACAGAAAAAAATCAGTGTAGGTGAGACGATTTTGAGAGCTGGAAGTGAAGGGAATTTGGTCAAACAGCAGCAGGTGCAAACGGCAGCCGCTCCTGCTCAGTGGAAGGCTTCTCCACACAAAGGTAATGTTTTAAATCGGCTGCTTTTGTCAGCTTGTGCTTAGAAACTTCTTTCTTAATAATACTGCCAGACAACTTAAACGAAGGAGACTTTTAATGGTTTCAAAAACTTGCCCCTTTGTGTGAGTGTGACATTTTCTAAAATCCTCCAGGGTGTTGCTAAAATAACTAGTAATTAGGAAGATGGAGGTAATAGAACTTTCCTTCATTAATTAAGGACGGATAAAAGAAAAACTGAGTGTTTTCACTTCTTTTTGAGGATGACAGACTTTATTCCTGGTTGATTCACAGTTTCTCGTAATCCAGTTATATTCATATGAAGTTTCTTTTTTATTCCTCGTATATATGGGAAGAAACGAAAAGAAAGAAGGGACAGGTCCTAAAACCACATCATCACTGGCCAAAGAGTTTTTGCATGCTTAATATTTTGCAGTCTCTTTTAAAAATGAATTTATTTCTGAAATGATAATCTAATGACATGATTCCCTGCCAAGCATGACAAAGATCTCTGCTACCATTGTCACCTGGAGCATTTAAGTGAGCAAGGATATCGTTGAATGCGTGACCTGGAATTGAGAAATGTGGTAACCAAATCAAACTATTATTTTAGGGTACATATTCACAGAAAGCATGAAACCACCGCTTAAAATACAATAACAATTTTCTCCATTATACCAAGAACTACATATTAAACCACTAAGCAATATTTATAATAGTTATTTTTTTAAATTACATTTTGAGCTATCACAAAGGTAATTTTTGACACTGTGATTTTAAGGTAAAATAAAAAATGGTTTTAATATTCTCATTCTTATCATTGGAAGTTTTTATTTTATAGAACAAAATAAGTTCATACCACATTATAATTTTAATCCTGATCACTCTTCTGTTAAAAACTATTACAAATGAATATCCAGTAATACATTTTTGCACCATGTACTGCTTCAAAGATGCAAATTTCTGTCTGGAAAATTTTAATTTTTTTCTTAACTTGGTTTATTATTACTTTAGCCATGTCTATGAAATGCTTGTACAGTAAGTATTTTATTGACCGAAATACTTCATTGAAGACACATATAGTGAACACTGAAGGACTTTGGAAGTATTGATGAAAGTTGCTGAATAGAGTGAATTTTGGCTGCTTAAAGGGAGATTTCTCTTTGATGTTATATATAATATGCGTTAAAGTCTAAAAAAATTTCTTCTAAAAAAGGAATTTTACCCACCTCAACTTGAAAAGTATCCAGACATTTAATGGTTACATATCTGTGTCTAAGTAAGGTATGCCCAGGGAGGGAATTTTTATACAAACAATCTAAGACTAGATGCTATTCCAAAGATTTTTCAAAATATCTTCTTTTGGTAACCTGTGAGGATATCTTTGAATAAACTTAGTGTATGAAAATAGTTTTTCTTTGATAATCTATTTGTTTTGGGGGTTACTTAAAAGTCACTTGAAAGCAAGGGTGATTATTGAGTTGCAAGGTCAGTATAGATAATGCATCTTTTTGTAAAACACAAACGAACGAGCAAACAAACAAAACACTGGGAGTAGATTATAAAATAACAAGGTGGTGTTTCCTGTGCATCACTCTGAGAGGATTCAGGCTGTCCCAAAGGAGAGTTCTACCACAAGAGTTTTGAAATTGGCAACAGGACTACATCATTTTGAAAGACAACATTCATCAGAATATGTCTTTTATTTCATTAACATTTTAAATATTTTTTTAAGTAGGCTTCATGCCCAGTGTGGAGCCCAGTTCAGGGCTTGAACTCACAACCCTGAGATCAAGACCTGAGCTGAAGTCAAGAGTCAGATGCTTAACTGACTGAGTCATTCAGGCACCCCTTATATATTTATTTTTTACTCAGAATTCTTTTTTTCATAGCCACACATCATATCACATAGTACCAATAGAAACCTTTCATTGTTGGAGAACAGGACTAAGACTCTATAGTATAGCTGTGTATTGTGTTAGGCTTTTACTTAAAGTGGTTGTCATTAAGATCAAGAAACCCAATCAACAGTCTCGCCATCTAAGGTTCGTATTGAGTTTGTGTAGGTTCTAGCCCATCACATTAAGATCTCAGTGTTAGTTCTTTAGAATGCTTATTTCATTGGGTCCACAGGGTTTACTTTAGTCTGTATAGTTTCTCATGTATCTGACTCTCATTCCCTACCCACCCCCCTTGTGTAATTTGTTTATTGGAGAAGTATATTCTGGTACATTTCATTTATTTTTTGACATTTGTCTCTTTAGTTGATTTCCTAAATTAATGCAGTGACATTCGCTTCACCACTTTTCCATGTTGCCCCCCTCTTAAAATTTATCAACTGTACTTTTGTTTCCATACGAAAAAGGTTAATAGTAGTTATTTTTTTGGTTAACACAGTTCAGTCTTCCATGGTTTATCTACAGGTTAATTCTGTAAGTTGAAAATCAATAAAGACTGTAACTAATGAGACCTCATATTTTTATTGCTAAGCCAAAGAAGTGTGCTATAACCATTTATCTTGTAGTCTGTCCTTCCTCAGTGCTTCAGATTCTCCCAAGGATGGTATAGATATGACCACATTCCCAGAACTCCCTTTTCTTCCTGGTGCTTCTGTTCGTATCCCTCAATCCTTCTGCCCTACTCTTTCCTGACTGATTTGTACAACACTTGGACAGGTCTCTCTTAGATTATTTCTTTTTTTTAATGCTTATTTATTTATTTATTTGAGAGAGAGAGATTGAGAGAGAGAGAGAGAGCATGAGCAGGGGAGGAGCAGAGGGTGAAGGAGACACAGAATCCAAAGCAGGCTCCGCACCATCAGTGCAGAACCCCATGCAGGGCTTGAACTCATGAACCGTGAGATCATGACCTGAGCTGATGTTGGGAGCTTAACCGACCAAGCCACCCAGGTGCCCCTCTCAGATTCCTTCTCCATTTGCCTGAAGCAAATCTTCCTAAGGAAAGCAAGGTTGAAAATAAATTTTCTGAGTTTTTACATGTCCAACAAATATCTGGACTCTCTTTTCACATCTCAGTGATAGTTGGGACAAGCATTATTTTTAGACAGAAAATAATTTCCCCTCATAACTTTAAAGGCCTTTCTCCATTACCTTTTGGGATCTAGAAGTGTTGAGGAGAAGTCCCATGTTGTTAACATGTTCACACATTCCTTTGTAGGTGACTTTCTCTCTCTCTTGAAGTTTTGTGGATATTCATCTCATCCTTGATGTTCTGAAATTTCACTGATGTATCTTAAAGTGTGAGCCTTTCCCATTTATCTTGACTGAATACTTTGATGGGCTCTTTCAATTTAAAGAATCAATGGGCTTCAGTCTTGTGAATTCTTTTTGTTAATTCTTTGATAATTTCTTCTTCTGTATTCGCTCTGATTTTCTCGCTACAGTGTTCCTCGGAGTTGGCTTTCAAATCTACTACATCAGTTTTCTGATCCTATCTTTTCTTTATTTTTGTTAGCCGTCTTTTTATGTTATCTAGATTTTCTTGACCTTGTCTTCCAACTCTTCTGTCTAATTTTGATCATCCACGTATTTTTAATTTCCAAGAAGCTTTCCTTACTCTGATTATTTTGATACCAAAATACATGGTATTATATTCTGTCTATAAGCAATATATCTTTGTGCTTTCTTTGCCTCTAGTTCACAGCACCATATACTCATGTTTAAAGATGCAGCCACATCCCTGTAATATTGGTATGCTTTCCGTTCTGAGCCAATGGTCTAAATTGGACCTTAGAACCAAAGACACTGGTAATCAATAAGCTTTAGGATAGCAGCATTCATATCTAATTCTCACCCATGAAGAACTCTCTTCATGATGACATCCCAACAAATGAAAGGTGAATGTTGGTGTTATGTGTTGATATGTGCCAACAGTTTTATTCAGGATGAGGCTATAAGTCAACAGTTGAGAATGTGGCCTTTCTTGCTGAGTGTTCTGTATTCTTCTGAATTCTGTTTCAGGTATATTTCCTCAACATCATTTTGTCCTGATTTTATGTATTTATTTATTTTGTATTTATTTATGTATTATGTATGGATTATTTTAGTTGGCCTCTTAACTGTTGTTCTAAATTTTTAAAAAGCATTTTTTTTAGGATGTGTACATGAACATTGACCACTAGCTTAGTTTGCAAATATAGTTTCCATATATTATGTGTTTGTAAGGTGATGATATCTGAGCTCTAACAAGCTCTTCTTATATGCCCAGCACACTTCTGAGCACCTTATGAATGTACTGTCTTGTATAATCCTCATGGCAATCCTATGACGTAGTACTATCACTATCCCTATTTTACATGAGAAAACTCACACAGGGAGCTTCAGTTATTTTCCCAACATCATGCAGACAGGAAAAGGTGGAACCAGAATTCTAGTTCTGGAAGTTTGGACTCCCGAACTGGCATGCTTCACTTGCTACAACACCTTTTTATAAAGAAAAACAATTTGTCTATCCAAAAAGTTAATATAATTAAAACCTTGTGATTGGACAGTCTGGTCCCTAAAAAAAAAAAAAAAACTGGTGATATTCTGTAGTTCAGAGCATGCTCTTCTGGTTTCAGCCTCTTTATTTGTTGCCCTAGATTTCTGTTTCTTAGACAAAAGAAAAGGGAAGCGAACAGATTTCAGTGAATAAATGTATCACAATACTGTAAATATTTTTGTCATGTTTATAAACTAAAGGATACATTGAAAATAGGACCTTGCAGTTCCAATATGTACACTCACTCCTACAGACTTGAGCGTGCCTGTGCACACACACACACACACACAATTCTCTGCATATAATTCGAGAAAGGCTCTTCCATTACACGTGACCTGGTGGTCCAAGTACAAGCCTGT